CGATTAGGCCGTAAAGATATGCTTTCTCTGTAAAAATTTAACTATATATCTTACCGTGTAAGGAGAACTATCAAATTCCCGCTTCTCCATTGTTGCACGCTCTGTCATCGTTTACCGTGATAACTCCCCTTCTGAATAGACTTAAGTAGAGTGAGCTTTACTTGAAAAGGTTATTCGTGCTTTAGGCACAAATTTGTCAACAACGTGATAATGATGAAGTTGTAATCAATAGGTATTCAACCATTTCACTGCCGTGTTTTCATTTTATAGAACATGGTGAACTCAAGTGCTAAAGGGTTTTAAGATAAAGTGATGACAATACAGCACTGCAAATTTTTAATCCCCTTGAGAACTACTGAAATTCGCATTGCGAACCATTCATGCGTCTCATCAACTGTACTTACAATTTTCGAAAGGGAGACCACTATTCAGGAGACGGGTGAGGCAGTGGTAACGATGCTGGTCATCACAACCACTTCGCTGGTTCAAACATGCTCAGGGTTCACAAAGGTCTTTATCCTTCCAGAGCTAGAAACGTCGTACAAGAATTCTTTGGAAACATCTCGTTCTCTACAGTCGAAGTGAAAGCGCTCTAGCCTGGACGTTCCAGAACTCCAGGGATAATCGACTCAACTAGGATTCGACAACATTCGTGAAGAAGAGGGCAATTCTTAAGCCACAGTCAAACCCATACGAGAAAAGTTCGAAGATCGTCTCGGAAGATTGAATCCAGTAAAAGAATTCAATGCGCGAAATTATGAGATCCGAACACTACATGTGAAAATGAGTAGTACAATAAAAATCTTGTTATCCAACATTCCTACGATTAACCAACATGTATTTTTCCACTTGTAGGCTAATACGGATTGATAAAAAAGTTTAATCGGATAACGTTTTATCACCTTCATCTTCCTCAGAGCCGGATTCATCCGAGTGCATTGTCTACTAACGATGCCCAACGGAGCCGAATCCATGTCAACATCCCTCAGAGAGTCATTAACGACGAAAGCTTTCCCGTTCATACTTTTTAGCACTTTAAGTCATTCCTGTTCTCAAAGAAACTACCATAGTGATTATATTATAGGGGTGGGCGCGGTTTCAACAGCTACGAAACATTGTGGAAAGGCGATTTGAGATACAGCTCAGCTATCTTCGGCTCCCAAACCTCGTGCTTTCCACATTTTTGTCAAATCACTGACCTCATGTTTAATCTTCACTACTGCTTTAACAGACCTTGCAGAGCTACCTCTTAAGCTGCACAGTTGAATACAGAAGTTACAAAAAACTTGTTGTAGAGTGCACCACATCACCACTAGGTGATGAACATTCTTGGTTCAGAGGTTGAGAAAGATTCGCTCTGTTGCAAATAGGTTTCTTATAAAAGATTAGTGTCTGCTGGCACTGGCTTAGCTATACTCTTGGATTTATGAAATGCACAACACCGCTATTTCATGCGTCAGGGTGTTTAACTGTCTCTGATTTATAAAATACATTCATCGCTTAATGCAGTACCTTGAGTGTTCAAGCATATTCGGGTTCGAACACTTTGCCCTCCACCACACTCTCGATCGCACATGGACCAGTGACACCAATCGGACCACTGACAGCATATCGTTCCCTCGCACAAAGTTGTTTCCTAAACAAAAACTATTCCAGTGTTTTTTGGCAGGTTGCTAAAATAATAGTAACAGGATAGTGTTATAGCAATAAATATATGACCTCGACATATATCTATGAAGGAGAACTCTGTTAATAACACAACTGTGTTGAAACTTGTTATTTACTGCCTACTCTTTTTAATGGCAAGGTATATTGCGAAATATGATTTCAATGATGCTGAGATATTTGCAAAACTCTAGGCAGCAAGTGTGTGCTGAAACTATGTTTCATAAAATAGGAGTGGAAGGGTTCGTTTCATATTCACCATATCCGCTTAGAGGCCATGTGCTATGGTTAAAAACAAAACAATTTGTCTACTAGCCCTTCCGGGAATTAATGACTTATTTCGGTCTGTGTTTTTAAAACGGCGTTTTTCAGTTCATAATGAAACTTGTTAATCGACATGAAAATACTTGCAATCTAATCGCTTTTGGTAGCACGAAACTACTTTATTTCTACCAGTTACATAAACTTCCAAACTTCTGGAGGTGTTGAAGCCGCTGCAGGCAGGTTCGGCGTTAGTATGGTTTCTGAAGATTTTTCGTACAGGGATTTATCACGGTGCTTGAACAAGTGGTGGTCGGTAAACGACAGAGTTCGCCAGTGCGGTATATGAAACAAGGTTTCGTGGCCTAGTTCTTTCTACTTTGTAGTAGCAGTAGTGCAACGTGTGGCCGAGCATTTTCGTGGAAAAGGATTGCTGTCTTTCTGTTCACCTGTGCGAGCTCAGTTGATAAACTATTTGATGCTATTCTAAGTGATACAGTAACAGCTAACACATGCGAGTAACTAATAAGATAATGCAGAGTAGAAAAGCACACGTTTTTATCATTGGGAACCGGCTTCCATTTCACTTCGGGCTAAATGATCAGTGCACCTTTTTTCGTAGACAAGCTAATACAAAGTTGTTGCCAATTTTTATACTGCTAATGTTTCGACGTCTTCGTCTTCCTCAGAGCCGATGATCCGAGTCGATGTTCACAGTCGTTCGTCTTCTCGATGTGGTGTCGCGGCCGAGTATTGAGCCGGATCCTCTTTAGTGGAACATCTCTTGAATGAGGCGTGCTCACCCGGAGATGCTCTTATATAAAAGATTGTTCTTCCTGGCTGTCGTGATTGGCCGGCAATAATAACATGTTTTTTCAGAACAATCATTCCCGCAGAAAACGATATCACTATTACTAACTAACACAAAGCGTAACAATATCACTGTAAACCGACTTTCATTTAACCTCGGTATGAATGATCAGTGTGCCATTTTTTCACTGATATGTTAACAGGAGATTTTTACCAATATTTGTTATTTAGTGTTTTCACTATTATCTAATGTTTATTATTCGATATTTATTTACTTATTTGGAGAAGAAAGATATATTTATCATCTATACCGAGGTTGAATAAAAGTCGGTTTATTATGACGTTGTTATCCTTTGTGCTAGCTAATAATATTGTCTGGATATTGTCTGGATAGAACCAGCTATTAACGCCGGACAGTCACGATTGTCGGAAGGAGCAGTCTTGTATATAAGTGCATCTCCGGATTGGTACGCTTCATTCCAGAGATGTTCCATTAAGGAAGATCCAGCTCGATATTAGCCGAATAAATATTGGTAACAACCTCATATTTGCTTATTAATAAAAAAAAACGTGGATATGTTTTTATTCGGAATTTAGCATACCTTTTAAAAACCGAGTGTTTCGTGTCAAAAATATTACAGCCATGTTATTCTACAAGGATATTTTTATTGAATATTCTTACCGAGGTTTGGTTTAGAAAACATTGATTAGTGATGTACTTCGTTTCATTGCTCTTATGTAGTTCTTCGATGCAGTCATTTTACTTGGATTGAGAGACCTGTGACCGTCCAGACCACCAGCAAATTGCCAGAAATTTAGCATGACTTTCCTTTGGTGCAATTTCGGATTTTGGGTTTATTGAATTAGTCGTCGGTCTTCTTAAAGAATCCATTTCTAGTCCCAGGTCAGAATACAGTCGAAAAACGGATCGTTCTGGTTGCGTAAAGAAGCACCAACGACCTCCAAAACGGTTACTTTGTTCACCGCCGCTTAATCCGTGGCGATCCCATTCTTCGAGCTTCTTCAATCTTCTAATACTTTTTCAGTTTCTAAAAATTGTTGATATTTTTGCATCCAGTTCTTTTGGAACAGCTGCTGATGCGTTTGCTGGCATGAAAAGCTTCAATTCGGTGACGTCTGTAGCATAAGACCTCTCTTATCTTGGCCGAATTTGCCACGCCGAAGTATTTTCAACCAGTGGACGGTTCGTTCACGCTTTCTCTGCACTCATACCACGTTAGTGCTTCGAACCGCTTGCGCTGTACTGAGTTTGAATTCATTGAAGTAGATTTGTTGAAACTGCTGTCCTACTTACTTGATACTTGACACTTGAATGGCCCTTCTTCACTGCTTATGCAGGTCCCAGTATAATCCCCATTTTTTTGGAGATTTGCTGGTTAGGCCACCGTGGTTCCCGAGAGTCTCAGCCTGGCCAAAGCCTGCACCAGGTCCTCATCACCACAGGCAGTTGCAGCCTTTACGGATCAGAGGGAGATTTACCATCATGCGACTTTCATACCAGGACGGCGGTGGATCTTGGTACTGGTTCACTCTTAGCTAGGCTTCCTGATGGAAACGCCGGACTCTTTTTCAGATTGGGAAATCCTGTAGGGAGATGAATCCTTCGCCGTACATCGCAGTTCGACACCCAGGAGCACCTTCCAGACACCACGAGACTGTAAACCGTCGGAATGTTGAGATTGCTGTTTTAGTATCTATAATTCTAACATTAAAAAGTTACCAACAACATAGTTCATATTGTAGTTCAACTGTACAGAGACCAAGTGCATAAAATCGCCTTGGCAACGATATGTAATTTTCTTATACGACCCGTTTTCACGTTTATAGTGCGAGCCCCAACACTTCTTACATTCGATCCATCTTTCTTGCATTCATCATCCACAATGATCTTCGAACATTTCGCACGTTATTTCGGATGCTGCTTAAAAATTTCATCGTCTTTATGAATGTTCTGGAATGCTGGTCGAGTGGATCCTCCTTGGATTCTTGGAGACAGCCGAGTTGAGGCGTTCACGCGTGGATTGGATGAGACCGTTGAAGAGGGAATAAGACGGAAACCTTGTTTCCTAATGGGCTGCATCACCGGCATCACTAAATACTTAGGTACCCTTTCCAGATAGTACAACAATCGAAAATATCTATAACTAAAATATACACAAGAAAAGTTAAGCTCCAAATATGACATTGATTTCTAAAAAGCCCAATATAACTTACCATACTTAGTCCTTGGCACACGTGGCTCTTTACACCATCTGCTCTGACACATTCACGAGTTCTTCTTCGTTGTCCTGGGCCACATTTAACTGAACATCTTGACCATTCATACCACTCAGTCCATGCTGGACATGATGAGGCATAACATGGAATAGTCTCCTAAATGCCTATTTCGTCGCGATTTCTAAATTTTCAGAATTTAATACAGACAATAAAGCTACCCACTTTTTGAGGACCTCGGCAGTCTGTTCCATACTGGCACGTTCTATGTCGATGTCTCGTTCCTACATCGCATGTTACACTACAAGCACTCCATTCCGCCCACGACGTCCATAGCGGACACAACGCCTCTTCGCAAAAACGTTGTTCTGAAGAGGGTCCTGAAAATACCGTTTTCTTCTTCCTCAAATACACAAAGCACGAGTAACCTACTGCTTGTTGCGTGGTGACGAATGCAATTTTTCGTTTTAGCCTGAACAATAAATTGAAACCAAGCGAGTTGACTCTTCTTTGTTTACTTACTACATCATCCCAAGCCTTTGCAAAAAGCATATTTTCTGAAATGTTTCAAGGAATTAACCGCCAAAGTAGGTGAAATGTAGATCTCGGCTGGCAAAAGGTCTTGTGAATCAATATGGTGAAGTTTTAGACTCAACTCATACAAGTTTTTTCGTGAGATGTGTATTTGTTGATGCGGAACAGAGGAGCTCCCTTTCGATGACCAGTGTCAAAAATAAACGATGAAGTCCTTGATATATTTCGGTGATTCGTATTTATATGCTTATTGTCAAAGGTAGGTGGCCCTCTCCGACTGCACTCGTGTTCAGAATTGTAATCGCCATTACGAAATCTCCGATTGCAAGTACACAGTACCTTTCTCAGAAGTAGTAGGTGGTGTGTATAAAGTCTTTGAAGACAGGAGAAATAAAAATATAAGGTGAAACCGACCGGGGCACATGTTATCTCCTAATGCCCCTCCGAGGCATGATCGCCTTCTCAGTGATACGCCGACTCCGCAGCTTGTTGAGCAAGAACTCCATTCGTTCCACTCTTCCCATTCCGGACAAGGGCCAGGATCGCATACGTTAACCTTAATTTGAGAATGTTGAATTACATCTCCAAAAAAACATGAAAACAAAGTTTCGCCAAGCCCTTCACCTCGACATCCACCGCTACCTCTTGAATAAAAAGTCAACTATTGGTTAGACCACATACGAGATCATTGTTTCGATCTGACGACCCAAGCTAACCAAGACAACGCACCCTCCAAGGTCAACAAATTTGTACGAGACTTGTCTAGGCGCGTAAAAACACTGAGCTGACAACCACAACGTTGCTGAGATACTTGCAAAACTATGGACCGCAGGTGTCTATGGTTCGAAATTCTAAAAAAAATGGTTCGCCTGTCTCTCACCTATCTCAGCAAAACGAAGGACCCGCATGGTGTGATGGTGAATGCGTTACTTCCCGGAAAGGACAATAGCGCGTTCGTTCCCCACCATAGACACCTGCGGTCCATAGTTTTGCAAATATCTCAACAACGTTGTGGTTGTATTTCGCTTAGTACCCTGCTGCGAAATTATAGTTGGCAAAAAATGAAAAGGTATAACACTGAGCTGATAGTTCGGTTCGCCCCAGTTAAACATTTTATACGCTAAATAGGTACCACGCACCTCTAGATACTTATTGGTATCGGGGCACGGCCAAAACTCTGTCTCATGCACTATCAAGGGAAATATTTGCAACAATTCTATTTTACCTGATGGTCTTGCATTGAGTGGAAAATGCTCTATAACAACATTGTTAGGTACGATGATTTATTTTTTCTTCAGGCGTTACAAATATCGCCCATTGAATGCGTCGTTTTCTCGTTCAGCATACGCGTCATACGCAACCTGAGACCCCGTATGTTCGCATCAATTTTTGATGTGGGATGGTGCAGTCGTCAACCACATACGACTATAATCAGCTGTTCTAAACTTCCTCATTGGAAGTCACGAAAAAGCGGTGGGTTTTTTCGAGAAGTTGTTGATCATGAAAAAAGCGGTGGGTTTTTCGAGAAGTTGTTGATCATGTAATTACCAAAGAGTCTTTCGTCTTTTTGTAAGTGTTATTGAAGCGTTTGGCTAGTAGATTGTATATCAGTATACCCCTCCAGGCTCTGAAGAAGGCGATACTGCCGAAACGTCAGCTGCTGTTGTATTGTAATGTGTTCTTTTATGGAAGTAAATGTATGCTGTTTAAAAACCCCGCGATTGCTGAAGAAGGAAACGACGCATTCATATTCCAATGCCGAGGTTAGTAGAAAGTCGATCCTGAGAACTATAGCCCATTGGATTTCTTCTTTTCTTCATATTTCATCTTAGCAAAGCTTCGCTTCTTCGATTATAATTAGGTTACTGAATTAAATATTCACATCAATCACTCTCCTAGTCTACTCTACCTCGCAGTGGTTAGCTTCACTACTTTTAAGACTTTTATTCAACTCGATTGATCTTATTGAGTTTTACTTTGTCTTTGCCGGATTTTCTATTGATGGTGCTTTTCTGTGATTTATAAAGATTTAATTACCCAAGGTTTACACTGAAGTGACGTCATGACCCTTACGGAGCACCACATAAGGAGCTTACCATCCCTTATTTCGTTGCTAAAAAAGCCAAGAACCCTTTGAAACCTCATGCTCCATTCAACTTACATGAAAGCTGTAACATTTTAATAAAAATTCGACACTAATATTGGAATATAAACGAAGGTCTAACTAATTTTTGAGCACGAAAGATCACTTGTGCCATCGCTGAAATTTATTGTTAGTAATGTTAGCCAAGGGAGGAGAATCTCTTGGAAATAGGATCCATTTAGAGTGTACTCCGTTTGTAAGTGCGGAGTTGTTGGAAGCTAGAAAAGTAGGTTTGCATAACTTCATATTTGGTGTGGTAAAAACTGAACGTTGACCTTGCCACATAAAGTTTTGACGCTTTTTTATTAATATATTAGTGAATGCACGAATTGCACTTTAGGTTCTATGCGATCATATCTCAACTCCTGACTAAGTTTATTAGTTGAAATAAAGCCATAAGCAATTCGAAGACCTTTGCCGGCACAACATCATTTTCATACTACAATTACAGAATTTTGATTCATGAGGCCCAATCGAAGTTTTTTGCCCTTTTTAGTCGAGGCTCGTACCACAAAAAGTGAAAAGATTGAACAAAAGTAATTTGGCTTAGGAAATACGAAATATGTCAGCCGTTCCATCAGTGATGTCTTCAGTTCTCGAACATCACTCTACGCCATTCTATTCACATTCCGTCATAACGCTATGCAACACGTGATATAAATGGCTTACGTTAGGCACAATTGCGTCTGCTCAATTTGTAGATGGCTTCCCAAAATACTATCATCTTCTATCACTGAATCGCTGCTGCTTAGCTTTCATCACTTAATCAGATAATCGCCCAATTCTATGTATCGCTTCTCACGAATGTGCCCATATATCTTAAAGATCGATACTTTACGTAAGCTTGAACTACGTACCGTCAAATGATTTAATGACTTTCATGAGAGGCGCGAACACACGCGGCTTGTGCTCCCCATCTCTATATAATTCCTCCTCATGTGTTATTTATTCCATTTCCACGCATGCTTTTCAAGAACTGAATTTTTCTTAACCAATGCACCATCCTATCCATGTTCCTTGCTCTAATGAGCTTTCTTCGCATCCTTTCTGTTTGAATACTAGTTCTCGAATATGAAGGATATCATTAGCAAAGCGAAGGATTGATTAGGATTTCCCTGGATTGCTCTGCAATTCCTAATGTGGAATATGTGGACTTCTCGTTGACGAGATTTGATATGGCGACTCTCGTTTCCATAATAATAAATGTTCATCGAAAAAATTAAAACTTCATTTTTATGTCATTCATCAATCTCTGAACTAGCTACTTGTTAATGGCATGTAATGCAATCAGGGACGAACAACGAGCAGGTGGTGTGATGCTTACCTTAAGAACAAACATAGCAGATAAGATCATTGTATTCAATGAACCAGCGAATTCAGTACGCTGAGCACGTCCGTCCAACATTTGTCAATTCTTCACGAAGTTAGGAATTGGTGCTTATGAAGATTAGCCTGTTATATTTGCTCCTTCTCATTTCTCTTCTGCTGTTTTTCCTATAAGCGAAAAAATGGAATCAATCCAATCTTACAGTTACTCTAAAATCATCAGGATTGTATGTAGACCTGTATCGGCGTATGCATCGTCAAAGATCCAGTGAATGTGCAGTGATTTGTCCGTGATTGAATATTATCAGAACTGAGAAAATCAACAGAGTAAGCGAAAAAACTTCGGTATTGTGTAAAGGGTTGTATCCGACTAGAGTTTGCATAAACGAAAGTGGAGATACAGCATATTCTTCGTAACCAGCTAACAAAAGAGCTCTTGTAGCGTTGAAAATTTCATACTTACACAGGTGCTAAAGAGTTCATGAACATGAATTCTTAGCAAAATGAATACCTTATGCAAATCTTTTAAAAGCAATTCTTCTTCGCATTGCATATGGAGCAGACCCAAGCAAATTTTTTTAACATAATTGGTAGAAAGGAAAGTCGTAGTGGTTCGGTTATTGAATGCCCATAAGTGTTCCCACCTCTGTGAGTATTCACCGTACATCCCTGTATGACCTCTGGTCCCGTTGATGGTCAAATGACTCGATCAGGCGCCAGTAAATCCCCATTTCTTCCTGTCGTATGCAAGAGTAGCCCAGCGGGTTCTACTCGTTCTGGAGACTCGTAGAGCATCATATCTTTGTTTTAGGCCTTTCGTGAAGAACTCTGACCACCGGGTCGGTGGTCTTCCTTCAGTGCGTTTGACAACCTGAGCAATCCAGGACGTAGCTATTGAAGAGATCTGAAGTAGTATTTGTTAACGATTTTCTTCATTGCCTTTTTGGACTCTGTAACTGTTCTATCTGTGCGCCGGAGTGCAACCACCTTGGTCTTCTAAAAGGCGAAGCTTCGGTGGGCTTTGCGAAAGCCTTTCCCAGCCTCTGCAGCTTCAAACTTGCAAAACAGTGTAGACAGGCGATAAAAAGAAATCTTAACGTCAGAACAGCAGCATCATGGTTGCGAAAAAAACAGCAGTTACAATGATACTGAGATATTCGCAAGTCTTGAAGCCTAGGCAAGATCGAACGACAGCTACGAGGCTCGTGCATTACACACTGCACCACTGCGGCACGTGCTTTGCGCTTCTCTTAGGTATTTTTCTACCTAACGCTGCCATCAGCAATCACCCATCAGCAGGATTGATCTGGGGTATTGGTATGGGTATCTGACATTATATCCTGCTGTAAAAAAATTGTGGTTGACAGTAAATAAAGGTTAACAAAAACAACAGTTTTATGATTAAAAAGGTTAGGTAATTTTCGAGTTCGCAGATATGCTTGGCTGATGTTGTAACGTCTCTTTGTGACGTCACAGAATAGTAATATTAGAAGTGCAACATCAAAAAAACATTAAAGAAGGACGTACTGTTAATATGGCAGAATTTCTTTGGGCCTTTTGTATACTAGTCCAGAGCGTTGATCAGTTGTTATCAAGGTTTGATACTACTGTATCATGAAGAGTATCTAACGAGAAGATACATTGGTCAGATAGAATATTAAGCACTGTGAAAAAATATGTTTCCACTGGAGAAATTTAGGTCCAAATGTCGTATATAAGAAGCGAGCATTAGCAGAACCTACAGGGACAAAACAGTCTTGCTAACCGTCATGGACAATAAAGACTTATCTTGGTTACTATCATCACAACTCCATGTTCCTCTAAGTGACTCTACTAGATGGACACGATAGGCTACAACACTCTGATAAAAGATCTGGTTGACCAGAGAAAGTTTCCGCATGAAAGAACTCAACTATGAGCAGATGTATATAAAACAGATATAAAGGAGGATTTTGAAAGAAGAACTAAAGAACGAATACGAGGAAGGCTACTAAAAACTAGTCAACATAATTTTTGATCGCATGAACCCTGTACATTTTCACGACTATCCACATACCATTTGCTAGAATTATGACTACGATAGACAGGAAGGAAAAAATGTTCCACTTCACGAAACGTCCCACTCAAGAGCTACTTGAATGCATAACTAGCGATATTCAATTACTCATCAATTATTTAATAAATACAAGATCTCAAAAAGTTGCTTAGAGTAGTACAAGCTCAAGAATGTTTTGTGAATGGGCAAAACACAAATTGATATTTATACCACTTCTCATTGTCAAGTTTTCTTACATTATCAGTTTACAATGTACACTTCAATGTTCGACACGTACACTTTTGAAGCAGTATTAATAAATAATAAGGCCGTTTGCATAAATTAAAGAAAACTCCAACCTCAAAGTCTTTCCCTTCGCATTTAAGAGTCTCCAGATAGCAGAATCTTGTTCGAGTTCTTTCACCTATTCCACAGCTTCCAGAACACGTCGACCATTCGCACCAGTCGGACCAGGTTTGACATACCCCCAAATTGCAAGGCGCGCTTTCGAATTGTGGTCCCTTATAAAGATCCTATTTATTCGTGGATTAGCAAACATTGTGCCAACTTGTCACATTTAATTCACAAAATAAATATATTCAATAGTGCTTGTCACTGGAATAAAACGTAAAAATTGCGCTCCTTAAAACTACATAAAAACCCATTAAATAATAACTTCTTAAGAACGACGAAAAATCTAAGAAATTAATTTTTCCACTTTTTCGACTAAACTATAAGGCAGCGTTATATTTGTAGTTGATATTAATACTGTTGAAGGTCTCTTCGTTCAAATTATGGCCAATTCATAGACTGCAGGTTCTCACATGTGATTGAATGAATATTCACCTTGCGTTGATGTAAAAATCATTGCAGACGTAAACTTTGAAAAAATCACTACGGGCGCTTTCTCAAAACTCTCAATCCTTTAGATTGCTTTCTCTCGAACTGTGTAAAGGCCTATGTAAAACATTGAATGATGACTATCTCATTGTTTTCAAACATTCAGCTATTTACACAAAGCAATTCCCATGACTGACTTTCTATTATCCTCTGCATTGATTGATAATTCGCTGTTTTTCTTCAATGAGCAAACACGAGATCGATATTACAGAGTTTGTTAATAAACAGCTTCTTTTAAACACCAACGAGAATAGGCGCACATAGCAATATATGGGCGAGGAATATGTATGGGTCAGGTCGTAGAATCAACCTGATGTGAGATCATGCGTGATCACAAGGAACTCGCTGTGGAACTCCAGGATCTTTGGAATTAATCCATAACGCTTCAAGAGTTGGACGAGCTGATGTTTTGGATTCCTGTGCTAGGATACTGACTTTTAGTATAGAATCTTCTCCATTATGTTCTGCGACAAAAACAGGCTGTTTATTATGCGAATGCAAGTTTATGTGTTAAGTCTTACCTGCTAAGGTTATGAAAGTGTTTGGTTGAGTAGATCGCATGTCAAATTGACCTTTTCAGGCTCCGGAGAAGGCGAAACCGCGGGAACGTTGGCTATTATGTGCTAATAAACTCTCTAGTACTAACCGCATGCTTGCTCATTGAAGAAAAGCAGTGAATTATTTATATGAATCTTTGAAAGAACTTGTAGGTTCCAGATAATTTAGCGGCGTTTCGACAAGTTGGAGTTGCCAGAACGCTGACCAGTACGAAAATTTTAAAGTTTTTCTAGATGTAAACAACCCTCTCAACGACTTACAGCCTCGTCGTGGTTGGGAGATGTTTCTGGGCGTCGGACTGCGATGTACAGCGGGGTATTCAACTTCTGACAGGGTCTCCCAAGCTGAAAAGCAGTCCAGCGCTTTCACCAGGAAGCCTCACTAAGAGTAAACCAGTACCAGGCTTCACCACCGTCTTGATATCAAAGTCGCATGGCGGTAAATCTCCTTCTGATCCACACGGGCTGCTGCTGCTTCTGGTGGTGAAGACCTGGGCAGACTTTGGCCAGGTTGACCTCGGGATTTCAAGGAACCGCGAGGTTTAACCAGCAAATCTTCGAAAAATGGAAGTTGTGCTGGGGCCCGCACAGCCAGTGAGGACGGGCCATTCATGTATCGAGTAAGTAAGTAAGTAGCCATCCTATGACGGACTTACCACAGATAACAACGATCGTGGACCACCAGCTCTGACCTCTGACTGTATCCTCTCCGTTGAAGTGGAATGGATGAACAAATATTTATGGATACATGCCTGGGGAATCATCACTGTCAAGTGAGAAAACAAATCATTTTTAGATTGATCATAACGATGCTGAAATATTTGCAAAACTCTTGACCGCTGGCGCCTGTGGTGGGAACGGAACACGCTATTACCCTTTTCGGGGACTAACGCTTCCACCACCACACCATGCGAGCCCTCTGTTTGCATTTCTCTCAGCCACGTTATTGACCTATAGGTGCTGAAAGCATTAATACGTCAACGGGATTGATCGGGGAAGCACAAATCGGCATTTAAAAAGGTGTAGGCAGCGAATAAAAGAAAGTGACGACATTTTTAGATTCTTTAAAGCCTTAAGCTTTTTGAAGCACTTACATAACTGGTTGGCATACCCCGAGAGGTGCTCCAACTAAGAATATCCGACTCAATACGACAAAGAAAACATCACATCGAAAAGACGAACGCCTGTCGACATCGCCTCGAATCACCGGCACTGATGAAGACAATGACGTGGAAGCGTTAGCCGAATGAACTTATTTATCACCGCCGTGTTAAGTTCGTATTAATATGATTATGTTAATTAAAAGGCTATTTGGCGAAAATTAATCTTTCTGTAAAATTGACAGCTTCGCAATTAAATAGAGGATCAAAATCGCACTACAACCAATTTCCAGCTTGGACGTGGTCATTAAATGTAATTGTGTTGTGGGTAAAAACAAATGTAACCTTATGTTATGCCAAAAATTCCAGTGGAGAGAACTCTCCATATTTCGAAACAGTTCTCATCCGAAAGGGCTAAACTCTCGCTGCGATCTACAAAGAAGTTTTTGCGAAATACCAGAAAAGTTAGGACTAGAATGAAAAATATTATTTCAATAACTGAATTGCATTTCTAATAACGAGACGTGCAGTACTCTAAGAAAATTCGACTTAAATGATATGCCGCTCAAGTAAAAAGGTTTTCTTTCTGATGAAGGTAGGAAACCTGTGGCAAAGCATCTTTAAGTTTACGTCGCAGGCAATCGCCATTCTTCGTAGAACCGGGCAAGTTTTGGATTTTAGGCCTTCTGAGGCCTGTTCGTGGCAGCGATCCACGCATAGCTCGCATAGCTACCTTTGAGCAAAAATTCCAAAACTCTTCTCAGTCTGTATGACATTGGTAAGCGATGAAACCGTCTCCTAAGTCGAAATTTTACTTTCAAGAGCGTCTCCAGTCACGACAAATTGCTAACAAAAAGTTTTAAAACTGTAAAATTGTGTCTTAGCAGTTCAGATTACTTGATCACCACCATCAATGAGTTGTTCAAAAACGAGTTTTCTACTGAATTCAACTTTTAGCACTACTAGTCACGCAACATTTGGACGCATTGGAATATAGTTCTTTACCCATTCATGGTAATTTTTTTCAGCTTAAAGAAAGTTCTATAGGAACTTCTCAGAACTGACTCCATACTAGCCTCAGGACTGATCAATAGAGGAATTGGAGGCACAATACACGCTCATGTAGAATCTCTGCGGGTGGTCTCCATCAATAAGTGGAAGACTGATTGAAAGCGATAAGTGCCCAAAGCAAATATTTCCCACTTAACTGAAATTTAGGCTTCGCGTTTTTTCTGGTATAATGGATGTATTTGGCTAAATAAATTGCACGCTAATTCTACCTTCTCAGGCTCTCGAGAAGGCGAAACCAGTTAGAACGTTAGCCATCGCGAAATAAATATTGCACTAACAATCTTGTATATCCTCATCAAGAAAACATTGATTTTCTTTCATGAGATTTCTTTTTTATCTACCTGGCAATTATTGCTGTCACATTCCCTTTTTCTCCGCTTTATACCATCTCCACACGTGGACGAACACTGCGACCAACCCGACCAAGTGTACCATTCTCCTGGAAAGCAAATTTGACCCTGCTGTCTAAAACTCTTTCTCATAGTCATCAATTTATTTAGCATTATTCTGTAGTTATATGAGCCACTGCTTTCACAAGCAATCTTGCAGAATGGCGCTATGAATATGAAGAAATTGCTAATCTTTAGCGATTAAACATTAAGCACCTGAAACAGTGGACGACGCAGAACAACTTTCATTCTTGCAGCCAGAAGAAGAAAAAGAAAGAGAAGGAGTAGAACGATAACCATTTCCTTCTGCCAACTGTCTCTAAAGCAGTGTTCTGATCAAGGTAGAAGAAATGCGTATTGGTAACTGCCGATGAATTCCAAATACTTTGCAGCGTTTCTTTCTCAACATTCATTCTTATTATCGAGATAAACAGTAACAATTATTGTTTGTTCGGAGTTACCTGGAACTCCTGAACTATAGGTGGATGACAATATCCATCCGGACAAGGCTGATATTGTGATGAAGGTTGCTGAAGCTGCGAAGCACGGTTGTTTTCCATTCTTTAAATATGTATAGGAATTATTAAAAGAACAAATTATACAGAAGGCTCATGCCAATTTCCAACCTTAGCGCAATAATAATGGTCATTAACTGGCTATTCGATTAACTTGTACGCTTTTGCAACGGGGACATCGCTATAATATAAAATTTTAGAAACAGGAAGGTATTCTAGCCATTCGAGTCACCTATAATTCGCCACAGAATGATTTTACGAAATTAGAATAAAACCTGGATTAAAAAGGTCCCGTTAAAATATAGGAGGCTAGGCTTAACCCACATGTCGAGAGCATTGAACTCAACAAGTGTTCACCCTTCTGACTCCAAATTGACTGCTTCAATTTCTGCGTTCTCCTATATAGTTAGGTTTCCATGTTTTTTCATCACTGTCGACGCATTTTCAAGCACTATTATCCTCTACGTTCTTCTCTCTATCATTCCACCTTGTTGAAAGGTATCCAATTTCTGCGTTTGATGAGAAAAATCTTGTCTGCCATCCCATCACATTGCTAAAAACCTTTAACAAGGTTTTCTAATATACACATACATGCATATATACATATATATATATATATATACATAAGTCTATATAGCATATATAGCTATATGGTATGAATAAATGCATCTAACACTTTAAAGTGTTTAGTTCTAATATTCATATTGTAATCAGAATCGGATTTTACACATTTGAGTAAACAGCCGTTTCTCACACATTCAACTGACTGGTTATTAAAAATGAATAAGAGAACGGTGAAGACACTGGAAAAAATATGAAACCTCTTGTAGTCTTTATTGAAGACTCGGAATAGAGCAGACAAGGATTAAATATGGTGGTGATGATGAGGCAAAGTAGGTGGCGATTGTGCAGGCGGTGGGTGATCAGACACTGCGTTGTACTATGACTGCTGGATTTTCGATGATAGTCAGTTTGGAGCTAACTGCCTAATTTTGTTCGAAAGCACGGAAGCTGCGAAACATCTTCATAAGTTTTTTATTGCCCATATTTGATACCTTATTGTATGGGAGACCAGCCGATGTGGAAAAGAAAGCGTTAAGTCATTGGGACCAACAACCGTTGAAAAGACGGAGTTCCTTGGTCTCCGTCTTTTGGAATTGCGAAACTGAAATGTTAAACGATAGCCTATTTTGTTCTACAATCCGATCCCGGGGTTTCGTTCCAATGTAAAAAAAAAGCAAGGTATAGATTTAAAATCCCCTTGGAGTCAATTTCCGATGTAACATGAGATAAAGAATAAATGCGTTATAAGCGTTTTGAAGGAGAAAGAAGAAGGCATTCTTATGATGTTGACAACAATAATAAAACGCTCTTCGCCAAGGCGTCAAAGCTGCAGAATGTGCAGAAGACTGCGAGGAGTTCAAATCTGACATGGATCTATTTCATTCGAGTAGACAAAGTGCCTATTGTCGGCCATGTCCTAGAAGAGACTCTACTGTCAAAAAAGGGGAGACGTGCTGCGTGTTTTAGAGAGCCAACAAAAATGTCGTGGCTTCAGATCTACAAACAAAAATACTCAGAAGTTAGTATTAAATGCTCCGATGTAACAAATACTACCGACTAGAGTGCTTTATAGAATACCCAGTAAGGCTGGAAACTGTAAAAATTATGGACCATAGAAAGAAAATTATAGGCAAGCAATGTAGATTGTTACCTCGCAAAGCTGTAATCGTTGCAGCGTGACCCAAATCGTAGGTGAAATTTGTTCATATAAAGGTTTAAGGTCATAGGACTGAGTGGACAAGGCAATGTTAGTGATGCCTGTTCATTACGAGTAAAACGATGGTTACATTCACGCCGAGCTCAACGAACCTGTCATTTTTTCACCGTTGGAAGATTGGTGCCAGGTTTATCTGACGCCGACTCACTGCCTATGACTCACAAATTCTGGCGACTGCAAGTGATGGAGATCTGGGAACACCCTATCACGGCTATCTCAGGAATCGTTTGAGAATCGATTGCCTCAATTACAAGTCAGTGACATTCTTGTAGAAAAGCAAAAACGCTAATGTAGCAGCCGAATCCACAACTTCATCCGAAGACCTTCGAAGATGACAGATGCTAGGAAAAAAACAGAGTACAAGTGCAGGGATCTTCAAAACATCTGACTGCTCAGTCGTGTTTAGCTAAAAGATAAAAAATAGCTATAAAAATTATCAACTGTTACAATTTTAAAACTCGATATGAACGTTTTTGAGCATAACGTTTGCAGCAACATTGGAATGCTGTGAGAATTAAAGTTTCAGTATTTCCAAAATTTACTGTACACATTGACGAACGCGTACACTATGCATGCTAATCTTTATAGCAAGCTTTCTCTATGATTTACCTCCTAAAAAAGCTCTAAAATTTAGGTGAAAGTACAGCACAAAAAATAGTACTCATTGCCTTATTAAAATTAGGCGAATAAGTTCGTCCAGAAAAGTTTTTTGTGAATTATTAACATAAAAAGGATAAAGCTCTCGGCGTTGATCAATCCCTGAGGGATGCGCCATGCATTCGACTTCATTAAGAATTATTTCGAGGTGATTGAATGCATGTCTGGTCTTTACAATGGCTCGCCATGGACTATCTATGTATCGAGCCAGTGCTGCTATCCTGCCAGACAAGTCTAGCACTAATTTGCCGAACCCGGATGGATGGAAGGCTTGGAGCGCCATGTGCGCGAAGATCGATCCACATGTGTGTTGCAGGGCGGCTCGGACCACTGCGTCACATGCGCCCTTTGCTTGTGAATTAGTAGGTGTAAAAAATAGCTTAACACCACTGTTGGATAGGCCATCAGCTAGGCATAAAAATTATAGCAAAAAAACAGCGCCCAAATAAGCAGCTGAAGGGATTCTCCATTAAAATCTAAATATATGGTCACGTATCTGTTTAATAATATGATGTTACACAGTGAGGTCCTATAGCACTCAGGACGACCCGCACCCAACATATTGATATTACTGTACTTAATGCACCTTTCAATATAATTCTTCGCATATCGGTCGTATGGAGATTGAGACATCCAACTTTGGTTCGCTCGAATGTTTTGGCTTTGACCGATGACTGCTCTGAGAGGCAGAGATTGTGTCCTGAGTCCTTGTGGTGGCTTTCTAGCCGAACAACTACGACGTTGTATCTTCCGACCGTACTCGCAAGTACGGGAGCGAGCTTCATACCCTGAATTTGTCGGCATTATATCACACATTGCAGCGCTGTGAAAGATGTTGTTAGAAAATCCTTTCGCACCATTCTGCGAACATTGTGACCAATCCGTCCATTCGCTACTTAGAAGAACAGATGAATCATCGTGTTCTGAAATTATCCATTATAGTAAGCCAGTGCCATCAGCACTTCAAAGCTAACGAAAAAAAACTGCTGACGTCGCCTCCGACGATCGAACTTATCCGTTGAGGACACCACTCCGTCTTCTTCTAAAGGAGGGGAACTGTCAAAACTATGACAGTTATTCACTAGTTCAAGCATTCGTACTGCATCTCTGATATGTTTTGGTGCTTGTCTAATTAAATTTACCTAAAAATAAATGAAACACTCTTACAGGCTCCCCAATGTTGCATTCATTGTCGGTCGTAGTCACCGTGATTCAGTTTACTACGTATCGACTTGCCATCAGAGTATTAACACACAAGTTTAAAATAAAGAAGTCTTGGCCAGATGATTAGCTACAGAGCCACTAGAAACAATTCTTCAGAAAGAAAGTAAAATATAAAAACGAGAACATGAAATAGTGTTTAAAAAAACGCACCTCATCTTCGACAGAGTTGAATGGAAAGAGATAGCACTGGTGACTTCTAGCTTCACGATCCAAGTAGTAGTAAACCACTGAAAGAACTTTGTGAGAGGAATACATGCATAGCGTTACACGAATCCCATGTGGATGAAGGGCTCGATAACCGAGAAAAACCAATTTCAGCAACTTCTCCAAGTTCTCTGCAAAGTTTTTCTTGTCAATATGCCAGCCAAACCAAAATAAAATATGCCAAGATAATGAGAAACGTTAGCGGTTCCAAAAATAGGATTAAAGGAAAGACGTTAGTTGCAACAACACTCATATCAGCAAGTTGTCTTCTATTCTGTAGAAAAAAATTACAGCACCAAAGGAGCAACCCCAGAAATTCTGGGAGATATAAGAAAAAACATATTAGAGCAGTGATTCAAAATTCAAATGTTTCATCTTTGCTGACAGCAAAACAACAAATTTATATTAGTTTTAGCACACGAATATTGAAAGCAAGAGCTTAACGGCTGGTCATGTTCATTAAAAGATATGCGAGGTTTTCCGCATTTTCTCTCCCTCTTCCTCGTGCGTTCTTTTCTACTTTGTCAAAACTGTTTAACTACGCATTGTCCCTTGAAAGCTGCCCAGCAAAAACGCAGTGCCCATGGGTGAGCTTTCTCACCGAGGAAAGGTGGCACAAGTTCACTCTTACCTAAATTTTTAAAGTAGGGCTGATGATCATTACGACGAGCAAATCAAGTGTCTGTGTCATTCATTTTCATTAGTGCTCAAGAAATGATTTCTTCCTCCGAAATGTCCAACTCAAGCAAGCACTGATCGGTGTTCGGTTGAAGTATACAGTAGCACAATGTTAGCATGGGAAGTGTAACGGATTTAGCGAATGCGTTGTTTGAAATATCAGGAAAGTAACTCCCACGTCCAACATTCTATTAACCTCGGCATTGATTGAATAATTCTTTCTACTTCTGTTCAGCAAACACGAGGTGCTATTTTATTTCTTTATTTACGCACAAGCTGACGTTTCAGCGGATTTTGCCTTCCTCAGAGCCTGGAAGGGTCAAGTTGACAGCAATCCACCCGGCCAAACACCTCCATAACCAAACAGAGAAAACTCTAAACCAAGATTTCAATCACACTTAGCATAGCTCTGCACACTGCTCTGAACTTTTCGAAAAAACCCACCGCTTTTTTCGTGACTTCCAATGAGGAAGTTTAGAACAACTGATTATAGTCGCATGTGGTTGACGACTGCACCATCCCACATCAAACTTGATGCGAACATACGGGATCAGGTTGCGTATGACCTCCGGGCATTCCTCCCTGCTATTC